ATCACTGATGGCCATGGGAGATGGAGTCCAACAACCGCTGGGATGCCACCCATCTCTCTTCTTCTTCGACTGCACTCTGTTCCTTGTGCAAATGAGCGCTGCATCCCTACCCTAAACAGAGCATCAAGTACCGCTCTCTGACGGCAATGGGACTCGGCCTTCCGCCTCCAGGGACTGCACTTCAAATTCATCGGATCATTCTGCTTTGCTGGCCACTGAACAATACAAACTGGAACGGTGGGGGAGAGCGCAAGTTGCATTTCAACCTGCACTCAGAAAGTCAAAACAAGCAGAGGGAGAAAGTGCGCAACTGGGTCAGATACATCTTAGCTAAAGGCATTTACTGTCCGTGTCAACACACAAAACAGATGAAATGTTCACCCGCATCCATTGCAAGATGGTCCCACTATTGCTATCATAGGCTTCATTTGGCATGCTGCCATGCTTACCAGCAAAATTTTAGCCTTAAGTACTTTATGCCTCTCCCCAAAATGCAGGGCCTTCATTTGCAATAGGACAACCTATTTTCTCCCTAAATTTCATATTTATATCTATTGAAAACAGATACATATCTAAATATACAGTCTTATATAGTGATATATAGGCATGTGGATTCATTTCTTACATCGTGTGGGTTGCTATATAGGGACGTGCTGTGTATAGATTATGTCTAGCCAAAGTCCTTTGCCCCACTGGGTTTAATGGGAATTTCCCCTTGAAAAGCAGTGAAATGTTAAAAGTGCTTGAATTTAGCTGGGTCAATGCCAAATGAGGGCAATCCAGAGGAAGTCAGGTACGATGAAATCCTAATGGAAGCAACAGGACTTTCAAGGCTCACATCTGCCCCTTAGTCCGCCCCTTTCAAGAGGATGCATTGTAGACTTAAATCAGGTTTCATGCATATATATTTCACTTGCCTCCAGACGGACACAGGAATTGCATAGTACCGGTATTCTACTGTTTCTGAGATAGACTTTTACCATCAAGGGGTGCTACTAACCCAATGTGTGTCTTAGCTATACAAATGACAGGCTCATCTTATGAGCTGAAACATAGCATTAGCTGAAACATAACCTGAAAGACCTCTCACTGCAGAGGTAGCTAGCTTGCAGCCCTGCAGACATTGTTAAAACTCCCATAGCCCCAGCCCAAATAGACAATGATCAGGCATCCACAGGAGTTGTAGACTGTTGAGATCTGGAGGGTCATAGGCTCTGCAAGCTCTGTCTTAGTGGCTGTGTTTATGCTGTGGGATCAGTATCTCTGAATGGCCACTGAGAGTCCAGACCAGCAGAACTGCAGACAACTGGCTAGAAAGATCAACTGATAGCCCAAAAGTGTGCCAGAACCATACATGTCTGCACTGTTTGTGTATTGCAGCGGGGTTGGACTAGAGGACCCTCAGGGTCCCTTTCAACTCTACAGCTCTATGATTCTATGCTTGTGCCCTCACTGTGCTTTGCTAATGTAGGAAGCTTTGGCTTTCTGTTTCCTTACCACAATCCCTGTTGCATTTGGCTTGATGGCCATGGCAATTTGACTTTTGTGCACCCCTGGCAGTCTGCATGCAAGGTAGCATCAGTGCGGGCTTAGTGTGTTTCTGACAAACAGACACATACATCTGTAGAAGAGCCTGAGTTATAAAAGATAGCTGGGAGATCTGCAATGAGACCTCCTTAAAGTTAGAACTCCACAACTTAAGGTACAGATATAGATATGAACAGATGAATCAATCAGGTGCTCAACAAGAAGGAAGCATTTCATTACAAGCTATATCTTTTTATCATTTAGAGCAGTGCTTCCCAAACTTGGGTCTCCAATTGCTTTTGGACTACAACTCCCATCATCCCTAGCTAGCAAGACTAGTGGCCAGGGGTGATGGGAATTGTAGTCCAAAAACAGCTGGAGACCCAAGTTTGGGAAACACTGGTTTAGAGATTTAAGAGATCACACATCCATTGCCTGAATGTGACAGGATTCCCGATCCCAGTTGGATCTCCTTGAATTGGATACTTTAGAGTCAGGCTCCTTTTTATCTCCTCCTCACTGCAGGAGAAACCTATACAAGGCATTTTGAAGTACCATCAAACGCAGGCAATAGCTTCCTTCTCTTGTGCTATTTGGCTGTGCTACACATCCACAAACGTCTTAACACCAGACGCCCTCTAGTGTCCTCTTTTCCCAGCCTCTATTTAGTTTGACTGTGACCAAACAGATAGCTAAATCATAGCAACTGAGCATAGACAAATATTCTATTCAACACAACTGCTGGAGGCAGCACCCCTCCTCGCAAAAGCGATACACAACAGTAATACAACATTGTTTTACCTGGCGGTACAACATTCACAATGCAATCTTCAGCCAGCATTCTTATTTACCTGGCTGCTGATATGCAGACCCTAACTAAGACCCATGTGTATGATCACACACTCATCAAGTCCTTATGTTGTCCCTGTACTTTAGAATATTTAGCAATTTTTTTCTTCATAATAGGATACCAACAAATACCATTTTGCATAGCATTAACAGGTTGGATTCTTGACAACTGGTCAAATTACTAAGTGTGAAACCAAATCTTAGATAAGAAAATTATGTCTTCACTGAAGTGGACGTGATGTCGACAGAGCTAGGGTTTTACTTTAGTAATACCTTTCACCTTTTGATTTAACTAAACAGTCCATTACAAGGTGTAACATGCTTTCAGGGGCTTAAAGATGCAGGCATGCTTACAGTGGTACCTTGGGTTACAGATGCTTCAGGTTACAACCCGGAAGTAGTACCTTGGGTTAAGAACTTTGATTCAGGATGAGAACAGAAATCACGTGGTGGCAGCGGGAGGCCCCATTAGCTAAAGTGGTACCTCAGGTTAAGAACAGTTTCAGGTTAAGAACAAACCTCCAGAACGAATTGAGTTCTTAACTCAAGGTACCGCTGTAATTGATGTATTTTGGTAGTAAAAAAAATTCAGATAGAGAACATTTTCATACATTTTCATTGAATAGAGAGAACCTGGACTCTGAATGGGAGATTGTACATGAAATTAAAAAGCAATAAGCAGTTTTGTAATTTTGGAGCTCAGATGTGGAAACCTATCACATGTATAACATCACAGGTAAGACTGTGAATGTAAACCAAGCCATGGACGATTTCAGTCTCATTTTAACCAACCTGGATTATCTATTTATAGTTAAACTACTAACGCTATGGGGAAAAATAGTGGCAGATGATGTAAAATATGGCCCAGCCACAGTTAAGCACCACTGATTTTAATGCGAGTGAATTAAGCACCTGATTGCCTCTTTCACTGAAACAAAGATTTAAAATTGCTTAATTTAAACTGGATTGTGTTCTGCATGTATTACAGTATGGCCAAATGTTTACACAAACACACACAAAACCTCAAAATGGGAGAGAAGAGGAAGCTTTCACAGAAGCATGTGCCATTTTCTGTTCTCTGCATGCTGGTCATTGCAAATATTTCATTTTCTTGCCCGTTTACACAACATTCTAGACATACCCTACAGGTGATTTAATATTACGCCTCCTGCAACCCGTTGATGCTTGAGCATCAGAGCACAAGAACACATCTCCTGAATATAAGCAACTACAGAAGAGGAATTATCCAGGTGAGCTCATGAACATTTAATGAGTAGCATCTTACTCTCTCCCCAAAGAGGCTAAAACCAACCAGTGTTCTAGCAAAGTATTTCTTCTTCAGACCAATAATGAAGAGGGATCACAGGCAAAGCAAAATGCAGATTACCTAGCCCTAGGCCAATTGTTCCTGCTTTAAGAATCATAGAACCGTAGTGTTCGAAGGAACCATGAAGGTCACCTGGCCCAAGCCTCTGCATTGAAGGAATCTTTTGCCCAATGTGGAGCAAAAACCCACGACCCTGAGGAACAATGTTTCAGAAACCATATACAGAAATGGTTTCCTAATGTAAATTGTGGTTGGATTCACCTTAGGCACTGTCTAGTGTACGCACTCTAACATTAGCACATATTGGGAGTGCTTCAACTAACAAACAGTCTTCTAAATTCTGAAATTGTCTTTATCTAGCCTTATCATCATTTCCACCCAGAGCCTCTGTTATTTATCTGAAATGAACCAATTAAAACAACCAGATTATGAGTATTGGGACAGCTGGGTCATAATGTACAGGGCCTATAAAATGGCCAAAAACCACTGACAGTAAGAATATAGAAGCAAAGCATTTATACTCCCCACCCCCCATTTCAGTGAGTGGTAACCACTCTCTTGGAGTTAATATCACCAGTAAACCAACACAAGGGTGAATGGAAGCCTCTTAGTTGTGCAAACTAGTGCTGACAATGCTAATCTCTCATCCCCCATGGTATGTAGATGGCCTTGGGTCACACCAAGGCTCTCCAAATCCCAGCAGTTGTTTCTATGTTTAGAATAGCATCATGTAAAAACATTCTACATTAAGTTACCATTGTAGCGTTAATACCAACGATGCCTTAACCGCTGTCAAAAATGATCAAAACTATGCAACTCTTTTAACATTTCCTAACAAATCTTCCTTCTGTGCTCATCAGTCTCACTCCCTACCATCAGCCCAAAGCAGGTAATATTGCAGACAAGGAATTTCTAAAGCCCAACATAAAATGCTACTTGTCAAGTTGGAAGAGAGGCTACAAGAACGCAGACAAGGCACAGATCTCTGTGCCGCTGCTTCATTCTCTGTGTGTGTATGTGCATATCTGTGTGCGGAGTGAGAAGGCAGTGCATGAACCCTGGCAGTGGAAGTGACTAAAGCAGCCTTCGCCAACCTCACGCTCTCCACTTTCAGCCGGGGCTGATACAAGTTGTGGTCCAAAGCTGGAGGAGGGCACCGAGTCGGCGAGGGCTGGACCAAAAGTACGGTATATCTGCACCAGTTGTTGTTTTTCTGAACAAAGAGCTGCTGCAATCTGCACCTGATTCTGTTTGCTGTCCCTGATTGCCTAGGATAATTTCTCAATTCCAGTCCCCCCCTGCTTTCATATGCAAGTCAGTGCCACATTTTAAAAAAAGCACTAACTCCCATACAATTACAACTGTCCTACCCCAGAGCTTCTCCCTCTGGCTCGTTCTTCAACCCAGAGGTTTTCAACCTGTTTGGGTCCACGGCTCCCTTGACCAACTGCATTCTTTCTGCGGCACCCCTGTGCGGCTCAGGAGCCCAGTTGTGTCACCCCTTGCCTGCAGAGCCAGAAGCCCCTCGGAGCACCCTCCCTTGTGCAGTGTTCCTCAGCCTCCTCACCACTCCCTTCTCCTTGGGAGTCTGCCAGTCAGTTACAGCTGCCTCCCTCGGCCTCTGAGCTGCATCCCCCTGCCCCAAAGAGAGGTGCCTCCTCACACTGTCCCACAGGGGTCTGGGAAGCACACCTTGGTCAGCCTTGGACCTTGTATCCAGGGCTGCTGCAACAAACAGTTGTGCAAGCCTTTGGGAGGCAGAGACGTGAGAGGGCATCAGAGGAGGGAGGGAAGGAAAGAGGGACAGAGGCCAGTGTTGCCTGTGGCACCCCGACCATCATTCAAGACACCCCACGGTGCTACAGCATACTGGTTGAAAACCACTGCTTCAACCCATCATCTTTCTATTTTTGCCTATGTGCCGCTTCTTATGCTACTGTTGTGCATTTATCATAAGACAACTCACTAAATCCTTCAGCTATCTTCCCTCCCACCCCGCTTTCCTTTTGTCTGGAAGCAGCCGGGCTGAGTTCTCTTAACAGCTCCAACTGCTTTACAATCCCGTGGAGATGCCACAAAGCACGAAGCCTCGATCCCTAGTTCTTTTGTATGACAACACATCAAGGTATCTGGGGCTTTCTTTGTTTTTCATTGAGCAGTTGCAGGGTGGAGGGAATGAGCTTTGAGCCCTGGATATAAGAATCGCCCATGTATGGGAACAATGCTAAAAGATTATTCCTGGGACATTTCCACTGAGCGAAAAAGAGGAGGAGGAAAAGACACAGTGAAGGAAGCTGGTGCAGATATACCCTAAGAGAGACTGCTTTAACAACATGCTACATTGCCACTGAAAACGTACGGTTTAAAAAATAAAATCATATATTTATATAAATGAAAAGCTAGCAGCTAGCAGCATCGGTTCCAGAGATACTTTAGCACCAAGACCAATAGGAAGGGTCAGGGGGAAAATGGCAGGGTGTGTGTGGAGAGAAGGGATATGGAAAAGTTCAGTGTAACTGACGTCATTGCTGTATTTCCAAAACAATGCCGACTGGCATAAGGTTAGTCCCTCTGGAAACATGCCATCCTAGTAGTTCCGGGCAAAAAAAATCATTTTATTCCTGTGATTGTCCATTATTGTTGTGGTGCTGCTTTCTGCAATATTAGCAGGGCAAGGCACAGTCAGCAGTGGAGGTTTTGTGCTCATTTTGGCTTATTTAACCTGAAGCGTTGGGGTAGTAAAAAAAAATAAAAAATCTCCACAGATGTGTTTATTTGAGCTGCAAATATGTTGCCATACCATGCACCCCTTTGAAAGAAGCAGTTCACAGGAATAAACACAGCATTCAGTTTTTTCTTTTGCCAGATGACTGAACTTCAAACCTTACTCAACGGAGGATATGTGAACCCCTAAGAGGACCTTGTCATGTGACGACAATCAACGACGGATCTTGCATTGATATCCCCTGCCACAGAAACATGGCAGGCATTCTTTCACTTGTTATAAAAACCCAAACAAAGACACAACCCATTTATGATGATAAAGACCGAGTATAAATAACATAAAATTAGCATACATATTTTAAGCCCTGGAGTCTCTGCCCTGTTACGGGGCTTTGACTCGTTGGCTCTCTAGCTTCCACAGCAGCCCGGGTTTTCAGTAAAGAGTTTTATTTAATTTTTCTCATTGTCTACTATATAAAAATATAAATGCAAAAACACCCCACCCCACCCCAATAGTTCCCCATCTTCTGCATTATGCTATTTTCATCTGAACATGCTATCAATATTGTAAGATACATGAATCGTTAGTAGAATTTTCACAGGAGTAGCAGAAAAAAGGTTTTGCCTTACACTGAAAATGCCCACCGGTGGTTAAGACCAAGGAAGGGGCATCATGGGCCAATTGACAGAAACAACAGAAAATGAACCAGATCATCAGAAGAAGCTGCAAGAATCCACTCTAGCCTACGTGAAAATTGGGAAGCTGGAAAAGAAATACCAAAATGTAGGCACTGGGCTCAAAAATCCCAAGCATCATTAGTAGAGGGCTGAAATGGCTCAATTGCTAACTAACAAAGAAACAGAGAGAGAAGGAGAGACAGAAAGAGAGAAGACGTACACACAGAAGCATAATGAGAAGTAGGATGACATTGGCCTGCCACGTCTAGCTTATAACATCGATTCAGTTTGAAAATATAGACTATGGCCCCAGCACATGATTCTGAAGAATGAAATGTTGCCACCTACATTGCAGCTGCCACGGTTGAAGATGTCAGTAAATGTTAAGTCTTGTCTCATTCATAAAAATTCCTCTTAGCTTCCATCAGATAAGTTTTAAATTTTCAGTGTTGGGCTTTACATACATACATATATAATATATATATATATATATTTCATATACTATATCAAAGCTTAGAGTATTGATTTTTTTCTCTTTAAAAAAGGGATTCAACAGCTTTCTAAACGAGAGGCATTCCTTGCTAAATATCAGGGTAAAACTCCGACCCATGGTCCATGCTCTGCAGCACTGGCTTCTGATCCAGGGAGGACATCCTGCTCAGCATTTCTGCAGACAGTGCGTAACTATTGCTAGATTTCTCCTCAAACCAACTATCTAGTGCCCTCTTGGCTTCGAAGTTGGCAATAGGTGGTCCGTTAACAGCAATTGTCAAAAGGTCACTGAGCTGCTCCAGGGTGAGCCGAGAGCGATTGTTCTTGCGCACTCTCTGCAGGGCATTGCGCCCCTTTTCGCAGCAGGCTGTGGAGGTGGGAAGAACTTTGAGGATCTGGATGATTTTGTTTAAAAGAGGAAACCTCTGCCTGTATTTACAAATGTGGCCGATTAAATCTTTGAAACCATTTTTGGTATAATAATCCACCTTGAGTTCCCGCCATTCCATGAGCAAGCTCCCCCTGGGGTCCATGCCTTCTCTGCTCACTTCTGTGGAAAAGGTTGGCACGGCTTCGAGGTGCTCAAAAATCTGCACCATATCTTCCCTGCCATAGCTCATAAGCTCCTCTGCGCTCCTCGGCCAAGCTGCGAGGTCAAACACTTGGCAGGCTTTCACAAATGCCCGGCTGCGAGGTTCAAACCTTTGAGCTAGAATCACCTGGGTCTTCTGGCATATCTTTTCTCGAATGGACTGGAATTTGGCTTCTGCCACCCGTAGGTTTTTCACAGCGACGCCATTGAAGCTTTCTCGAAAGCTCTCCTCAAACTCCTGGAGATACTCGCCGGGAGAATCGGAGAGCCTGCTGATCTCTTGGATGGCTTCCTCGATTTTGTCATCCACCTGCGACACAAGGAGGTATTCGCCTTGGAAGACAAAGGCAAGGCGCGAAAGCACGGCGATGACGTCCAGCAGGAAGTAGATCAGCTTAATCGACTGGTAGTCCATGAGGAACTGCAGGAGAGCCAAGGCAATGGCAGACGCATCTGCTCTTTGTGTTTGGCCGCTGACATCTTTGAGATGGGCCACCACTTCCAAGTAATCCTTGATCAGAGCGTTGAGGACATTCTGCTCCCCGATGATCCACTTCACTGCTCTGATGTCTCCCAAAAACTCGGTTTCTTCACAGAGAGTAGCAGCAGTGACCCTCAGCTCGCACATCAGCCTGGGAGAGTAACGGTAAAAGCTGAGTAACTGCTTCAGATTGTTTTCTAACTCCTCCAGGCAAGGAAGCTCTTTCCCACTAATCGCATCCAATATCTCCAAGTGCGGCTTGTGTACCATAAGGGGCAGACAGAGCAGCCAAGGCAGAGTCTTTCTGATTGTCATGTACATGTTAGCTCTAAGGCTGGCAGTGATGTTAGCACCATCGACTCCCAAACCAACACTCGGCTTTTCATCCTGCAGCCGGATTCCCAGGGCGGAGAAAGCCCTATCTAATGCTTGGATGTAACTATCGGTTGCAGAAAAGCCCAGCTCCTGGAGAGAGAGGAATTCAGTGGCTGGAGGCCCATCGCTGCTGATATACTGCACGTAAACCGCAACTGTGTCGGCAAGCAAATCGTCGCTCTGCCCGTCCAAAATGATGCTGAGGAAGGGAGATTGCCTGACCCGTTCGACGAGATCTTCTCTAAGAGCTCGCGCAATGTGGTGGATCAAGATTTGACAGTCTCCCTCGTTCATATACTGATCCACCACTTTGAGCTCACACTTTCTCAGTAGTTCCGCAAGAGGCCTGAAGTCACAATAGGGCCGGCCTTCCATCGCTAAATGGTAGGCTGTGTTGAAGAGCAGAGTCATATTTCGGCACATCTCTTCCGTCTTCTCCGGGTGCATCCTGAGCCTGTAAAGTTGCAGGCACTTCTTGTGGAGGTTGCTCTGGCTGTGAAGTTTGATTGTGTGTATCTTGAACTGCTTGGAGCCAATGATGAAAGCCGAAGTCCGAGAGGATTGCACCGTATACTGGCGGCAGACGTGGCACCACATTTCGTTGAGCGTCGGGGAGTACCTCAGAAACCAAAACTTCTTGAGCCACTCTTGCTTGAAGCGCCGAATCCTCCTGGTGACGGCGGACAATTTGGAAGGCTCATCTGTGGCTGTTATCATGTCATTGGAGACAGATTCGTCTGCTGAATCCACCTCTTGGTCGTCGTCCTCCATGATGGTGGGAACAGACATGATGCTTTCCGAAGCTGCAAAAGAAAAGAAATGAGGGGAAAATGGAGAAAGTTTAAGGTAGGGTTGTAAGAAACAACACAAAACTGTTAGACAACTATCCCACAGGCACCCCTTGGCTACTCATACCATTTGCAGCAATAATGAACATGTTACTAGAGTAAATTTTGGTTTATAAACATTCCGAGACCCCCTCATTATCTAAAATCATAATTTCCAAGAGTCCATGCAAGCCTGGGTAGCAAACGCCACTCTGATATTCTGACTACTTTCATATTCACAAAAGGGCATCAATGACAGAGCATGTCCTGAAATGAAATCAAAAGAGCTTCGTAAAGAAATGCACACTTGCATTCAACCAACAAAATCCTTTAGATAAGAGAAAAAGGGAAAATATTAATGACATACTTCACACACATGCCACAAGCCAGTATATTTCATATTCAACATAAGAGAGTCAATTGCAATTTCTAGGTAAGATTCAAAAACAACAATATGCTGTTCTTTTTCCTGCAAGGGAATGCATCAAGAATACAGCAAACAAATTCGCTGCAATGGAATTTTTTTATTGAAGGTGCCTGATTACAGTGAAAAGAAACATCATGTTTCATCATTACAGTCACAATCCCAAGACCACTTGCTCAGAAGACTACGTTCCTGCTTCATGAAACCCACCGAGACCTCAGGTGCTTCTCAGAACACTCAATGCTGGAACATATTTAGTCACGAATGTCAAACAAAATGGCACTCCTTATACAGTGTTTGAGGAACACTTTTCTTGTGTGCAACTTACCTGAGGGGTATGAAAATGCTTGGTACTCAGGTACCTGAGGAGGTAGTAGAGGTGCCTCGGCTAACTTGCCAGATCTTAGCATGTTTAGTTCAGCCTGCAATTCGCGAATCTTCTTCTTCAACCGTACACAGTTGGGACACAATGAAGTTGTCGGGATCTCAAGGGCATCATCCTGAGTCGATGCCAGAGACAGATCGGTGGGGCTGTTCACTTTAAATGACAAGGCCTCTTCCCCTTCGTCTTCCAGCAGGCCAATGTCTTTGGAGCTGCGGGGGACTTTCCACTCACCCTCATTCCTGCCTCTACTGTGATTTGGAGAGCTGTGATGAATACCAGGCCCACAACCTTCCGAGGCATCTCGTGCTTGAAATCTGGAGGACTTTCTAGTGGAAGGAGCAGAATTCTTTATCACCTTGTGCTCTTCCATCTTTGTTGGCTCTAGGGAAGCCTCTAGAACATCTTTGAAGATGAGGTCTATTTTCTTCTTCTTCGTTTGGGGTTGAGACACACCTTCTTCAAAGCTGCGCTTGTAGGAACTCTTCCCTTGCTTTGACGTGGTGAGCTCGAGGGGGTAGCTCATATCGTCTTGGTTTTCTAGATTTCTTTCTGACCTTTCCCTTAGTAATTTTTTATCTCCTAGAAAGAAAAAATCAGGAGTTGGAATTATCAATGGGAATTCCGCAACATTCCTCACCCCAAAGCAAAAGCAAACTGGGAGCACACAAATCTTCATTTTTCACATGTTTGCATTACCAATAAGGGAACTTATTGGAATGAAGGTCTCAGGAAACCTAAGACTGGAGATTTGTTTAAAAGGGAAAACAGTCTCTAGGAGGCAGCCATACAGAAGTAAGCCTCAGATGGTTTTAAGAGAAGACAAACTATAGGAAGGTGGTCTAAAATAACAGGCAGCCAACCTGTGCTGGAATGAGACAATAATGTTGAATGTGTTGGTTTGTTGAAAAGATAACTTTTACTTGGTAAAACGTATCTGGTAAATAATACATGAAGTGTGTGATGCAGAAATTTCCATGTGAAACCTGTAGGCTTGAAGGACCACTTTTCTATTCCAGAATGACAGGAAGCGTGAGAACACAAGGAAATCACTATCTCATTTCCCATATCACTTACTAGCAAAATGAGGTAGGACTTCTGAGTGACCTCCAAGGTTGGTCCCGACAAGATTGCTAAAAGTATGGCCCCTAGCCAAAGTTCACCAAAATAAAGCGGAGAGATTGTGCATATTAGCAGTTACTTAAAACAAAGGGAGTAGCCATATATCCTTACCTGGAAATTCAGAAGATGATGGGTTTGGTTCAATTTCCATCTTTCTTCTTATCTTGCAAATAACTCCAAGCATCAAGACACATGGTTGCTTCCCAAACAAGGTGCTGTTTTATGCTGCTATGTATATATTTTGAAACACGTGTGTGCTTTTGTGAAAGCTATATAGGAATTTGAAACGCTGCCAACAAAGTCCTGAACAACTGCAAGTCTAAAGCTGCTACGAAGGTGAGTACAATTCCAGATAGTGTGATGGTGCACGGGCACCTCATTATCAGCATTTATCTGTTGACGCCGCAAGTCTTAGAGTCTGGCTATAGAGATGAGGAAGCCAGGCAAGACTGAGCCCATGCCACAGCCTAATTAGTTTTTAAGGGTATGACAACTGGCTGGAGGTCCAGATTAGACATGGCAGATTTTTTTCCTTCCAAATTACACTGTATTCTTGGACAAGAGTAGATCACAACTGGGCTTCTATTTCCATTCTAAATATGGACAGCAGTGCATGTAATCTGATGATAGTATGTAATTTGGTATTAAGTACAGAATCAATCAACCTGGGGGACCCATCTTCATTGTAAACACAAAACACGTTACTAACGCTCACGGGAGGAAAAATTAAATTAAAAATGTGTTTGGGCACTACTTATGGAATCTCAGAAGGTGGGCCAAGGGTGGGTGAGTGCTGGCAGGCAAAGCTTTGGTGCCAGGCTTAGGGAGGTAGTAGGGGCTATGGTTTGGGTCCAGACCTGCTATTCTGTGAATGGAAGAGCTCCTTTTTGTTTACAAAAGTAAGTTGGATCCAGTGCATGCTGCAGCTGTGCGCAATGGCGGAGTGGGTGGGTGGGCAGAGAGAGGTAATTTTCACTTGTTTCCTCTTCTCCTGCATCCCCCTCCTACTATGTTTGGGAGGGTGTCCCAACCGTCCAGAGCAGATGGGGGTGGGTGGGTAAGGCACGCAACACTACAAGGGCAAGAGAGAATCAGCAAAATTCACATCCCTCCACTTCTGCCTAGAGAAGCATCCAGTTTGTGGAATTCTGCTCTGCACAGCTCTGGATTCCAACCCTATGACTAACTACGCGAGACAAACAAATTAAGGGAAATGACTAAATATGTGCAAATGCACTTAATTTGCACAGCTTATAGAAAGGTTGCTATTTTAGTCATTTGGTGGTTTTAGTCAATTAAATAATTGACTCTGTATACATTTGCATATGAATAAAGCAGTGCTTCTGAAGAAAAGCATCCCCTCTCTGTTTTTAGGTTAGGCAAGCACCTTCTGCAGCAACCATCATCACGGTCATTTGCAACAGAGAAGAGGGAATGCCTTTTATACAGCAATGTCTGCACAGATAGATTATTTAAAGTTCTTGAATCAAAATTACTTAACTTTTTTTTTAAGTGCTGCCCAATTAATCGGGGACAGCTTTTTAACCAACGAAGAGTATGTACTAGATAAAAGGCAACCAATCAAATGCACCACAACTGCAAGAACCCTTCCATGGTGAAGGACTGCCAACCGCCCCAATATGTGAATTGCACCATTACGAGCAATTAAACCCCACATTGGGATTAATCTCCAGTCAGGGGAAGATTTTAGTCACAAGTTGCCTATTTTTGTCAGGAAGGCAGCAAGTTCAGATCCAAATTGAAGAACTCTTGGGTATCCACCAGTTAGACCTTATCAAAATTTGAAGCCACTTTCTTAAATCAAAATACCGAGGAACTTTTAACAAAAATGCTCATTAGACGGAGATGCAAGAATTCTGCACGTTGTTCTAGTGTTGAATTTTTTAAAAGCCAAATGCTGAATTTGGCTTCCAGCTACTCTTTCTATGTGTAGAATTACATAATATATTGCGCTGTCATTAACCAAATGAATGTCAACCTTTTCCGGAACACGGGTGTTTCAATGAAAGAATACTCAAGAGGTGACTGCATAGGATTTCCTGTTGCGGTTTGTGGTGATGAAACGGACACTGACAAGGTATTTATGTACTTTTTTAAAAACACACACACACACAATATTTCTAGCTTGTTTTTGCACATAAAGCCCAACCCGAGTTGTAGACAGAGCTCTGTGCAACAGACACCCTTGTGCCAGACTGTACCTTTTCATTCAGCATCTGCGCCCTGCACTTGTGATTTAGCAGCAGAGTACGTTCTCATGCAGACATGGCCCATAGGATATACAGAACTGCCTGATTCTGAGAAATACCATTGGCCTGCCTAGTTCAGTAATGACTTGCTCTCTGAGATTTCAGGCAATTCCCCACCACAACCACCACACACACCTGAGATCCTTTTATTGGAATGGTCAGAAAGGACTTTCCTTTACCTTTGCTGTGTTTACTTCTACCCCCCAGAACTGGGCATGGCTAAGAACTTAGGAAAGTTCTTTTAGTGAAACCAAAGAAGACAGGACTGGAGCTGCGCAAGACCAGGGTGGAAGTGTATGGACCCTTCTACTCTGCGGAGTCCCATTCAAGAGACTTCCAACTGAATGATGCCCTCACACACACTTTCAAACATCGTCACATACTGCGGGGCCATGACACCTGTTACATTTTGCACCGATACACACAAAATATTTTACATCCACAAAGGGTTGCGGAGGCAGCAGGAGGAAAAAGCGACCACCACAACTTAACTTTGTCCCTCCTCCCCATTCTTCTCTCCCAACCTCTTTCATCAGTGCTGGAGACTGTTGAGAAGTACCTTCAAGTTGACTCATGGAAGCTGGCTCTCGCTCTAGGAAGGAACCCACAGTTCCCATACAGCAAATGCCTGTCAGCCTTAGGCTGATGGCCTATGGACAGAACTCATGTAAGAAAAGGGGGAGATTCCTCTACTATTGGCAGAAATTCCCCCCCCCAAAAGAACCTGTCCTCAAATTACCTTAACAGCTAACGGGCACCGCCACCAATCTATCTCTACACCTGGGGCTGTGTCCCACTTCACTTGCCAACCCCCTGCTGCCATTGCTGTCTCTTCATCCCCAATTTACTCAAACTTCTGCCATTGTTTTAAATCACCACTCTTCCCCTCTCAGCGTCTCTCTCTTCTCACTCCCAATCCATGGCCACTGCTGTTGTGCAACCTGCCTTCACTTTTGCTCCCCCACCCCACCCTGACTTCCAGGATTGTGATGTGGCTCAACAAATCCTCCAACGAGGGCTCCCATGATGACATCCTTACATTTTTATTATATAAAAAGATATATCTCTGATGTGTATAAATGCCTGCTGCTCTTTGTCACCAGTGTAATATTGTGAAGTCCCTCTAGGTATTTATTTTGCAACGGGAAGAGGACCCTACAAAATGAACCACAAGCCAGAAAATCCAGTCCAGCAAAGGCCATTTCTTTCAACCTAATGCTTCTGACTCACAGGCAGGCATAAAATCAGCTGGCGCGCGCGCGCGCACACACACACACACACACAGCCCCAACAGTGCTATTTGATGGATTTCATTTCAACCAGCCATTCTGTTCCTTTCAGTCATTTTGTGATATGGAATGTTTTGTTTGCTGGTTTTAACCCCCTGCCCCCCCAAAAGAGATGTTTGTAGCTGCTTCAGAAGCCATCTTTGTCAGAGAAGAATGCTAGAGCAAACTCAGAGACAGAAAAGGGAAGGGAAAGGCACCCACCTCTTGTGAGGTTTCTGTTGATGGTCTCCTGAGACATGCTGTGCAATCGCTTCATATAATCCTCGCTGTACCAGACCCTTAGCCTCTCCCCTGGCCGGATGTCTCGACAGGTCCGGAAGTAAATCCTCTCGCTGTGCTGGAAGGCCATGAGGTTCTGTTCTATCTCCTCCCGGGATATGGCCACATACCTGAGAACAAGGACAGGGCAGTTTTTGACTTACAAGGAGGCTTAGACAGAAAGGAAACATACAGAAGCCACAGTGCAGCATGAGTGACCTTCAAAAGGGAGACACAGGCAGAGGAGTATTGGATGGCATGAATAATGATATGCAACAAGCTACAAGGAAATAACATGCACACCGAAGGAATATCAAACAGCTTCTTGAATCTGGTATATAGTTGTTGCCTCTGTCTAGGAAGACCAGCATTGTCAGCGCAGGCTTTTAACCCATTTAAAAGAGGGACGAGGAACCTGAAGCCCACCTGACGTGGCTGCACTGCAGCTCCCTGCAGCCTTAGCCAACATGGTCAATGGTCAGGGATAATGGGAGTTGAATTCCAACACCTGGGGAGCCACGGGTTCCTCTTCAATATCCGAAAAGCACATGCCTGCTTGTAAAATGTTTACAATAGCCTTAGATGCTGGAGCCTTGGACCTCACTGCTTCTCTGTTCCTCAAGCTTCACTCCCACTCTGGTAGCCAACAGCCAATTCTTGTAATGGGCCTATACAGAACAAGCTGCTGCAAAGAAGCCTTTTTGAGCACCCTCCACATAGCAACTGCTCAGCGAGAAGCATTTCAGCATCTGAAAACTTTGCACCAGCATCACCTCCCCCTGCCAGTTTTTCTCAGCGATTGATTGATATCATTGACAAATCGCTTCCCACAAATCATTCCAAAGCACTACAACAATAAGAAACAGCAACAATAAAAAAGATAGAAAAACAATGTCAAATCCAATTTCATATCTCTTTCTGTTTGGAAACGAAGGATTTCCAAATGGAAAGGGACAACGGTGGTAGTCAGATTTCTTACTGTCAAGAATTACAAGGGATAAGGCTGCTGTCAGGCAACCACACAATCGCCACTGTCATGAGCGCAAAAAAATAGGCCAAAAACTGGCTCTCACAAAGTTGGATGCCATTCTGGCAACCTCATGAGAAAACTATTTGTCTACCATCACCAAGCCACTAAGTTACAGCTCAAGGGTAATACCAAAATCCACGTCAGGGATTTTATTTGTCAATGAAAATATTACAAAACAGCATGCAGGGTTTCCAGTACTCTTTATCAGGCAAATGCGGAAAGTTCTTATTATATAGCACTTGTATAAGTTGTGTTCCAAAGTTATTGGGTGGAATTCAAAGCAGTGCCAAGGAGATCATGCCATCAGTGCAATCATCTCTGCTTGGCCTGATGGAACAATTTGTCCTCTCCTTTCCCTGCATGCTGTTCCGGGATTTCTCCAGACCCCCCAAAAGCCAATTTCTTCTGGAGGCAGGCAAAGGGGTAGCTCTTATTAACCCTGTAAAGTTTATCAGTCTTGCTTTCCCATGTTTTAATGAATTTATTGCTTGTCTATTCTACAAGGAGCTCAAGAAGGCATACACAGTTCCTTCCTATTTATGCTCACAACTACACTGAGGTTGTTTAGGCTGAAAGATAGTGACGGGCCCAGTTTCACTCAGTAAGCTACATGGTAGAGTGGGGATTTTAACTCAAGCTTTAACCACTGGCTGCCATGTTACAGATGAAGCAGCTGAGAGACACTGGCTTGCCTAAAGAAACCTTAAGAGTCCATGGGGAGATGATCAAGAAGGAACTTGCTTGTATCTCTCAGCCATCTTGACACATTAGCTTTACCTAGTTAGTCACACTAATCCTTGGTGTGCACATTTCGATAATCTGCATGCATAAAAGTAAGCAAGTTATCAGGTGAGGGGCAGAGACAATATGAAAAACTTGTGTTACTAAAACCTAGGCTTGGTACTGAGTGAGAGAGAGAGGTTGCTGGAGCAAGAGTATTTTTCCAGTAATTGTATGGGAGCCATGTTTCAAATTTAATTGAGAGTTACTGATGATTGTGCACAAACCGTGCTTAGTGGATTGCATCTATATTGCGGAGCTGGCAATGTTTGAATAAGAGAGAGGGCAGAGGTCATGCCGCATTACTTCTGCTAGCATAAGAGCTACTCCTGGGAATACTCCCTTTTAACAGCAGAAACAGCTTCTGCTCTTCCCCTGCAAGGTGATTTATCATATACCACACCAGCCACTTCCATTAATATCCTTCTAATATGTGTCCGATGACCATACTTGGCTGTCATGCTCATATTGCACTGCACTACACTTTTGCAAAATAATTAATCATAGTGTCAGAAAAGAGACAGGTGAACACTAGACTCCAAACCTTCGTTTACTGCGTAGCAGATAAGTGACAGAACAAAAGCTGTTTAGAACTTGGCGTATTTAACACTGATCCAGACCCCTCGGATACGAGTGAGCTGCCCTTCCCCTCTCTGCCTCAGTTTTAGTTTTCTGCTGACCGACTGACAACTCAATTTATTACACACATGCTATGAGTGTGCAGGCAACTTCTTTCACAATCCAATATACAGAGGGGGCGTCTTCCATCTATATTTTTGAGAGACTGGGGAGAAGACACATGCATGAAGCCAAGGGATCTGGACACCACAGGGCTGAGATGGGGAAGCTGTGGCCCTCCAACTCTTCTTGGACTACAAATCCCCATCACCTCTGACCATCAGCCAAGGTGGAGGGGGATGATGGGGAGCCCAATGTCACCTGAAGAGCCGCAAATTCCCCATCACTGCTGAGTAAGTCAAGAACAGAGCAGCTTCTGACTTTGTAACTAAGCTTTCCCCACCCCAGCCTCATTGCCTAGATTTGGTAAGACAAGAGGAAGACAGAGAGGGGAAAGATGGTGCCATTCCAGCTAAGCATCAACTCTCAAGATTCACTTCTTTCCCCACTAAGTTTTCATGGATTTGCTGAAATCAGATGCACTCCTCAGACATTTGGACACAGGAGTTGCTCTGACCAGGGTTTTTTTTTCTTTCCTGGTGGTGGTTGCTCTGTTTTCTTTTTAAAGGAAGAAAAGCTCAGAATCAGTCCTAAATTAAACAATTCCATTCAGTTAAATGAACATCTACTTCTTTCCCAGATGCACTGGGAAAGCTAAAAGGCACTGGCCAAGGGTCTCCCTGTCCCAGAGCAACTGTTATAGTAATCTGTTTGAAAGAACGAGTCACCTTTTTATGTATGCATATGTGCTTTTATACAGGCTGTGACAAGCTGTGACAAGCAATCCCAAAACCTAATTAGAGATTCAGAAGGTGTCTCTGAAAAAGCTGTAAGAAACTTTCATGCATGGATGCTCAACTCTTGGATATACCTAAATGGACAGTTGAGATCTCCAAACTATCTTTGAGAGATCCTCATGAAATCCTTATTGCTGTTTCAGGTAAGCTGTATGGTGCTAGAAGTTGTAGTAATCAAGTTTTGTAAACCACTTTGAGGTTTTCTACAAATCAAGCAGTATATAAATTTTTATGAAATAAATAAAATAATAAACGAAGCAGATGAAATCTGGAACATTACTATTTGAGAGGTCCCTTTTTGTATAACAATGCAAATGGGCAGATTTGTAGCTTTTTCTGTATACCTTTAGGCACACAAACAAACTTTCACACTAGGAACATTTCCAAACCATTCACCTTTCTTTTGCTCCTTCTTGATGAGCAAATGCTTTTTGTCCTCAAATTGTCCGTAAAATATAGCAAAACAAAAAACATAAAACCCACCCCAATCTGACAAATGTGTCCTGATAGAAAAGTGCTATTTGTGCACCATGCAGAGATATGTAAGCTGTAAACTATCCTTGAAATGTCCTTGAAATGGAACACAGGCTCCAGAACACAACTTGAAAGCACCCATGTAGAGAAGGAAAGACGTTACCCAACAAAGAGTTTGAGTTTTAAGTATTATATATTTATTGTTAACAAAAATACTCATAAATTTCCATCATATATAAGAAATATTAGGGCAAGCACAGCATTTCAGTCAAACAAGGGGCACTTTAAAACATGCCAGGTATACACAATCACATACAACATCCCCTTGTGGGGATGATCACAAAAAAAGCATTTCAGAGAGCAAAGAACTCATCCCTTGTTGCTAATTCCCCATGAAAATAAATAAATCATGGGGCATACCTTCATTTGCCCTGATATGTTTCTCTATATATTAACATCCCAGATTCCTCAAGCTTAGCTTTACGGCTTCTTATCCTGTTCTAAAAGAAAGCACGCAGCGTGTACATTTCTCCCAAGTGCCAGAAATCCAGAGGCCACAAGCCCCTGAGCTTCTCAGAAAAGGTCAGCGGTAGCTGACAATGCCAACTTGCTTTTTGTCTCTGGGATCAGTTCTCCAAGAACTGATAGCTGAATCAACAACACATCACAAAAGTTTGAAAGAGGAAAGCAAAGCAACCTTATTCATCCTAATGGCTTGGAGACAAGCACATATGAGATACCAGGAGTTTTGTAACCGACGACATTCCTATTATTTAATTTATAGAGTGCCATCAATGGACATGGTTCTTTAAGAGGAGCAAAAGAAAGAGGTCTCTACTCCAAGGAGCTTACAATCTAGACTTGCTTTGGAGGGGAGCAAAACCCATCCACTTTGGTGGTGGAAAGCTCTGAGGACCAGGCACTTCCAGACCCTGCGCCATTATTTCCTTCACATTAATTTGCAACGGACTGGTGCTATGCCTGCCTCAGAAGTATACATATGCTGAACGTTGTTAATTCACGAAAAAAGTGATCCACATTTAATGCCATATGGATTTTAAATTCCCTGCAAATAGGTGGCAACACTGCAGAAAAGTGAAGTTTCCTCCGAAATAGGCTTTCAAAAACCAGTCTGATTATATTTTCATCATTTATTTATTTATTGCATTTATATGAAACCTTTCTATCAAGGCATCCAAGGAGGTTTGTGGGTTAAAATATTAATATAAAGCAAATGGTGCAAATTAATCTCAGGTCTACTTCAGGAGCTGGTGGCACTATCACCCTGGCCTGGCCTTCTCCTCTCAGGGAACTCTGGTCTTAAGTAGCCCCAGGGAAAGTGGAGGTGGGGCTGCCCCAACACGCTTTAACCTTGACAGAACAATCCTATGTGTGTTTACACAGAAGAACGTCTCCTTGAGTTCATTAGGGTTCCCTTCCCTGATAAGTGTGCACCCTAAATTTATCCTCACTGCCAGAAGGGCCTTGTGGAATGTAGACTACTGCAGCTATGACTTTAAGGGGATTGTGTCTCAACTCTTGACATCCATAGGGTGCAAAGGAGCAGGTGCAGGTATGAAAAGTGTACAGTGCACATGCAATTTTAGCTTATGTACTACAAGCAGGTATGAGAATATGATCAAAATATCCAGTTCCAGAACCATAGCGGAGTCCTAACAGGCCAGGATAGACTACATTTAGAACTAAGTAGACAGTAATCTTGATTCACATAGGCAGTAGCTTACATCTCCTGTTTGCCCTATTCCTGGATTCAAAAGAATTGTATGAGAGTTTAAACTGGGCAAGCAACCATGCACATGCCATCTGCACCCACCCTGTGCGTACCAGGCACATCTCCTTCCGCATCTTTCCTGTGTATGGTAGGAAGGTGGGAAGACTTGGGAGCATTTGGCTGGACACCTGCATACCTCCCTAAGATCGGAAACCATTCAATGTGAGAAGTCTGGGGGACGGGTGGGAGTGGGTAACACCTGCTGCACCAGTTTAAGCCCTTACATGTTCTTTTGAATGCATGCACAAAGCTCCTGTTAAGCAGGAAGCTAGTACAAGGAGAACATGCACCAGCAAGCCTGTGATAAGACAAGGGGGTTAAAAAGACGGCATTGTGTTTGCAAACAAAAGAGCAACTCTGAAGATGTCAGGAGAATTCCATTGGGGTCAAAGCCAGCATTTGAGCATGCTCCAGTTAGTTGCTTCTGAAAAAGCCATCCCTCAACTCAAAAGGTTAAATTTGTGAGCTCTTTATTTTTTCATTTAATAAAAGGTACAGCTTGGTATACAGTAAGCACATGTACACTTGTGCACATTTAACTTGTGTGCTTTCAGCTTTGACATATATGGGTGGAAAGGGGGATGGGCATCCAGGAGAAAAGAAGCTTTGGCAATTCCACACACCATTGCACCCAGTGTTTTGCCTATATGCGATTTTGGTTTTAGGTGCGATCCCCAGAACGTAACTCCCATTTAAGCTGAGGGCTCACTGCACTACACTATTAATATCCTAAAGAACTGAAGATGTAGTCCGACAAGATCAAGTAGAAAAATTAGCAGGCTGGCCAGTGGTTTCCCTTATCCAAAACTTGTTTCTAGCAGGTTTAGCAAACTGATTTCAGTGCAACTTACTTTCAAAAGGATGCACTTGTTTTTATGGACTGCAATGTTACCAATTTCTGCTAGCTAACCCCTCTTAAAGGCCTGAAGTGGCTGACACCTGCCATAACTGCTTTTGCTACCTGACAGAAAAAGCTGATGAGTAAGTCCAGTGTGCTGGGTGGTGCTTTGCGCGCTTCAGAAGCAGGCATTGTTTTTTCCTATTTTTCCAGGTCCCTCCTTTTGTCAGTATCTACCTAGCTTTAGTACTCAAACCCCAAACCACAATAGCTAACTATGGCAAAGAATGTAGTCCGTTTACGGCTCTTAGATCCACATAGTGCATTTGCAGAAGTAAAAGGGGGGGGGGAAGGGGGGAGCATATATTTGTGGATTGTTTTACCTTAAGTGCAATTATTTAAATGCAAAGCCTAAGTAACGTTTCCTGAGCATAAAAGGTTAAGGAAACAAATCTATGTGCACCTTGAATCCATACAGCAAGACAGCCATTAAATTTCACCTGTGTGTATTTAAGGTGTTCGCAGCTTCTAATACAGGGCGGGCAAGCAAGGTGCTGCGCTTCCAAGTGCACAGAGCAAAGCCTACTGCTAAACTGTCATAATTTATATTTATCTTTATAGGGAACTCTCACTGATCTTCCCCAATAGTCATGCTAATGAATTTTTTTCCTAATCCAACGTCAGCTACTCTTTCCTGTTTAATGCAAAGGGAGCTAGAAGTGGTGCTTTCTCTTCCGTGACCTAGTCGTCCGAGGAAGAGGCGTCTGCTTGGGATGGCTTTGGCTATTCCCTGCCTTGGGTTCAGAAGGGTTCATTGGTGCTGCCACCTGGCTAGTGCTGGGAACCTGACCCTTGTTCAAAGACTGAAGCTCGTCCTTGATTTTGGTCAAGGTCTGGCACATCTGGCTGACCTGCCCAGTCAGGTCAGACATCCTCTGGCTGATCACAAGCATGTTATTTGCCATGTCTCTGTGGATTGTTACCAGCTCTTGACAGAACTGCCTGAAGAGCTCCGTCTGTTCAATGTGGGTGTCAAAGAGCTGGCGGTCAAAGCCAGAGATGGGTGGGCTTTGGGCATAGGGCCGAGGGGGCCTAAAGGAGGACTGGGAACATGGGTTTGGTTGCCTCATTTCCTGCCTTTGGTTAATAACATCCGAGTGATCTGACAGAGAAGAAGAATGAAGGTATGATGGTACGGATAGAAGGTCAGCTTCTTCTGCGTGCCTCTGCAGGGATGAAAAGTGGTGTTGCTGCGAGGGGCCGGGCACCTCCACATCTTCGTCAGCTTGAAACAGAAACAGAAAACACTGGATTATTTACATGAATGTTTTCTTCCGACAATCTCTATCTCAATAAGTTCAGGAGAAGCAAGCATTCAACTTGGAATTTTGGTGAAACGCAGAAAGAGAATTTTTTAAGGAATAGACTATGGGGTTGATTTCTTTAAAAAGAATTTCTTGTGTAATGTAAATGTCCATTTACAAAACGCATTTTGCTTAGCATCCCTCTAAGATGACTGCTTTGAAGTCACTAGATGCATGGCCAACGACAGATTTTTCTTTGGGGCACAAAATGCCAACAAAAAACCTGAAATTATGCACTTCCTGAGATAAGAGGAGAGTTAATGGTAGACTTTCAAGTGTACACAACCACCACCATGACTGTTGCTTTATCAATCTAATCACATACTGATTTTATATTAAGAGTTTCCAAAGTCATTTCATTCAGCAGCAGCAATTGCAGAGAATCATTTCCTGTGAGGAGTCATCCACCATTAAGTAATCTTTGTCAATTTGTAAGGGACTAGTAATCCCAAGGGACGCGGGTGGCGCTGTGGGTAAAACCTCAGCGCCTAGGGCTTGCCGATCGCATGGTCGGCGGTTCGAATCCCTGCGGCGGGGTGAGCTCCCGTCTTTCGGTCCCAGCTCCTGCCCACCTAGCAGTTCGAAAGCACCCTTAAGTGCAAGTAGATAAATAGGTACCGCTTTATAGCGGGAAGGTAATGGCGTTTCCGTGTGCTGCGCTGGTGCCGGCTCGCCAGAGCAGCTTCGTCATGCTGGCCACATGACCTGGAAGTGTCTCCGGACAGCGCTGGCCCCCGGCCTCTTAAGTGAGATGGGCGCACAACCCTAGAGTCGGACACAACTGGCCCGTACGGGCAGGGGTACCTTTAGTAATCCCAAAGGAGTCCATAGCTCGGTGGCGGGGCTCTAGCTTGCAAAAAGGTCCCAGGTACCATCCAATAAAGGATCTCAGTGGCAAGGAAAGGGGAGACCCCTGTCAGAATCTTGGAAAGCCAATTGCAGCTGAAGAAGACAATACTGGAAAGATACCACTAGGCAGCTTCATGCAATGGCACAAGCCACTGTGGGTGTGTAGTAGGGATAGTCAGTGTGGTGCCCTTCCAGATATTGCATAAGCCAACATGGCCAATCCTAAGGGATGCTGGGAGTTGGAGTCTAGCAACATCTAGAAGGCATCACACTGATATCGTCTACAGGACGATTGGTTTACAGGAAGCAGTTCTCAAGTTTCCAGTTTCTGCACACACCAAAGCTCTTCCTTATCAGGGACAAGAGGCTTCACCACTGTAAAAAGTGATTTAGTGCAGTTTTTGCATGCTTTTCCTTTTTATCAAATATAATCCAGAAGAGGAAGTTTAACACTAGTACAGAATAATAAAGCCAACAAATTGGGGTTTGGCCATATCTCATTGGATGTTTTATGGCAATAATTTCTGTTGGAGTGGCTAGCATTTAGAACTGCTAGTGGTCCGGTCTAAGGCTAAGCATGAGGCAATGGGTCATAGACCCCTCCCACTGCTTAATTATATTTGCCGTGTGGTTAGCTGAGCCTTATAAGCCTAAACTGTAGTGCTGCCTGTTGAACAGGGAAAACTACAGAAGACCTTGATGATAAGTGCAGCATATGCACTTATGGAACTTTCTTCAGGTTTAGTCTACTCGATCAAAAGCTGCAAGCCAGAAGCATACTGCCAATCTCTTGTTTCCACAAGAGCAATGAAAAATAGTTCTTACCCTACATTTGTAAAGGCTGTCCTGAATATCACGAATACCTGGTAAGATGTTAAAGTGGACAAAACCCAAGCACCATTTTGTATATACAAGTGCCAGGGCTAGATCACATAATCACAAATGTGGAAATTCTTGATAGGAGATGAAGTACTGTATGATTCAAGTACACACATTTGCACGCCGTAAGATCGGTGTTGGCAAACCTTTGATCATGGTACATGGGTGGAAAGATCAATGGCATTGCCCAGACAAATTGCCCATGGATACGCCAACTCCACATACTACCACCTTTGCGCAATGTAGAAATATCCACATTTATGAGCTTCTGAACTCACCTAGTGATCCATATATTGGATTTATTAAGGGTGAAGATTTGGTTTGGTCTTCCCTTTCCCTCCGCCAATGTGTGCACACAACCTTCCAAGCATCTTCACATTTGCCATTTCACAGACCACGGGCACTGACAATACCTATCCCTTTTTTGCTAACTTGACCGAAGTAGCACAGCTCATGCTAGTTCATTCAAGGTGCAGCTCCGGACAATCTATTCCTAACCCAAGGCTGAGGGAGGAAATAGGGTGGAGAGAACCAAAGCGCAACAGGAAACGCCAACCAGAGATAACAGTTTTGCTAGCAGGGCAGGGCTGACCTTTCGTGCAATACATACAGTTCTTTGGTCAGAACTGATCTGTTCAGCAGGGGACCAGGGGGGAGGTAATACTTACAGCTGGTTGATGGGCTGTCAACCACGTCCAGATCCGCTCTCCGGAAGCCGTGCATCTGGCGTGACGAATGCAGCGTCGACTCGATGGCTCTCTCGTGGGCGGTCAGGACAATGGCCGAGGGCCTCCCCGGGCTGCTGGGACTGGAGAGGGACCTCTGCATGTATGCCAGTTTGTCTTTGGTCCTTCTCTTCATGTCGTCCCACCTGTGCTTAATATCTTTCACAGACCTGGGGACCTGGCTCACCGATGTGATTTTCCTGGCTATACTTTCCCAGATCTTGTCCCTGTCTGCGTGGGATAGACGTATCGTCTCCCTTCCAAACAGCCTGGCTTCGTTCCGAGTCACTTCCGTGACCAGAATGTCCAGCTCCTCCCTGGAGAACTTGGGCTTCCTCTTTCGTTCTGTCATGTTCCTTGAGTTCAATATCCCACAAAGCACAAATGGGTAAAAGGAAATCAATGTGAAGCACCCAAACCATTACAAGCAAGATACACGACCAATTGCACATTCACTCCCAGCTTGCAGATGTTTCTCTCCTCTATTCACATAAAGCTTTCCATTTCCCACCACTAAATGTAGAAAGTGTCAGAAAGTGGGGGCTTTTGGGGGGGAGGAATTCATACACAAGTACCATGTTCTTTTTTTTTAATGTAATCTTTCCAATTAAAACAGGTATTTGGAGGCTCTGTTCAATCATTCTTCCAAAAGAAAAGAAAAAATATAGCACATATTCTTTGATACAGAACAAATTACATGGATTTACTTCTTTAAAAGAGAGGTCACTGAGTCCAGCAATCCGATTGTGACTCAAGAACCTCTAAAATGGGTATTACTAAGTTTCTCTCAATTAATTCCCCCCTTTCTGTATTTGCTGAAGATATCATCAGTGGATTTTAATCAGTAAAAGAGACTGAGACAAAGCAGAAACAAATGAAGAGTGGGATACTAAGAGGAACCAAACCTACAACTTGGCTTGGGAGAAGGGACTGGGAAAACAGTAGACAACTTTGCGAGAGCTCCAGCAGAAAGCATTCCCTCTACACACACACACACGTACCCTAAAACGTTTTGCAAGATTTTTGTTGCAGGCTGATACCAGAATTTCCACCAGCTATCTCAGGACCATCTCACACTACAAATTTAGCAGGTACCCATGATATTTCTGCTATATCCTATTACCTTGCACACTACATATTCCCTCCATGGATCCAATTGAGACTTCCCATCCATGCATACATGGCAAATACTCAACAAAACAAACAAGCGAAACCTCTTCCATGTAATGGAGCGTAAGGTGCTCATCGCATACAAAAGTGGAAAGAGTAGGATAAACACACGTGAATTATTCATACAATCCGTATGTTTTGGCTCTAGTGGCCTTGGGTAACTTTGCTGTGCTAGATTTGGTCTAAATAACAACTTTTATGCATGTTGTTGAATCTAAATCTCAGCTATAACCATTTGTTTTAAAAGAAACTGAAATCACACTGCACTCCTAAACCTCGTTATTCAGAAGCACATTGTGCAGAGTTCAATGGGAATTACTCCCTAGTGCTTAGGACTGCAGCCTCAGTCTGGTTATTAAATATTTCTTAAGCTATATATTTCTTTAAAATATATCTGAACTGCAGCAGAAATCATGGGGAGGGCAGAGGGCACCCACCCCTCTTAGCTTCTGTTTGTTATGTCAGAGCTATCTTTTCCACTTATTTTATGGTTTCAGCACTCTGGATCACCCTTGCACAGTGCAAGCCATAAAATAACTGTTCTATTTATTTTTAAAATTCTGTATACCCTTCTCCCCACTTCTTTCAAAAGGAGTTGCTTAAAGAAGCTTACAAACATAAAAGCAGCAACAATCCAATCGTTTAAATACAAATTACCAAGCTAAAATATAGCAGCAAAAATCAACAGAAAGATACACGATTAGCCACCACTGTCTCGTATCTGAGCAATTCTTAGGAAGAGAAGCATCTCAAATGGTGGAGCTCCGTGCGGTGATCACTGAAATACTGCAACCTGGTCTGATGCTGAAAGGCAGTGGGTGGCCTTCTTGTTCACCTTTGCTAGTGCAAAAGAAGCACACTGTACTTCTCCACCCTCAATCAGAGCTGCTCAGCTGCGGAGAATATGAGCGCCCTCTCTCCCGTCTCAGTGGAGATTCCACTTTCTGTATGTCCAATCTCTCCTTCCATAGCTTTGGTGGTAGAAGCATCCCCAAAAGGAAAGAGAGGAAAGTACAGCCAGCTACAACAGGAGAACATCTGAGAGTACAAAAGTGACGGGGCAGCAAGCTAAGAAGGGGGGGTCAAAGTGCCTTCACACTCTGTAGCGAAGCTCAGACAACACTGATGCATATGACACTTAACGGAGTTTGCACATAACCTACGAATGGATTTTAAAATACCAGACTGGTTTTTGAAGCAAGGTGCGGGTGGCGCCCTGACTTCTCCTGTCTTCTAGAGGACATGGTCACCTCGACTGTCCAAGACCTAGGCCTGCCACCTGAAGCTGCCGAAGGGTATTAGCGTTATGACATCTTTTTCAGCTGAAAAATCAACTCTAATAAACGCTCTTCACTTCTCTGCTTCGTCAATGCACTCTACTATCCTTGAGTGTTTTACAGCTTTCCTTTCTGTGTTATTTGCAAATTGAATGAGCAGAACACTAGGATAAAGGAATTCCCTTAGAAAATGTACAAGACAGCTTCTTATCGGCTTTACTGCCCTATTTAGAGTTTCATCCATCCATCCATCCATCCATCCATCCATCCATCCATCCATCTGTTCTTTTCTTTTTAAGTTTAAGAGCAAGAGATCCACCAGGAGCAAATTACAGGACAATCAAAACAGGACACAACACCTACTTAGCTGGTATTCATGGCCAGGAACCATTAGTGTAAATGGTTGTTGGGTAGGCCTTTTTTAAAAAAATAAATAAATAATAATAATTTTAAAAAGCTTTCAAGGAGAACAGGGAACAAGTTTTACAACAGCAGCAAATAAAACCCCCATGTACAGAAATAATCTTTGGAATGGGGTAGAGTAATAGCTCAATGGTAGAGCAAGGACCACGGTTCAATCTCCAGGTAGGGCTGGAAGAGCTGCTGACTAGAGAGCTGCTGCTATAGATTATGAATTCTGCAAGCAATTCACCACATATAGCAGGGGTGGGGAACCTGATGCGGTCAACGAGCCAAATCCTTATCACCCCTACCCCTTGCAGGTCACATTTGACATGTGGGTAGGGCTGCTCACTTATCCAAGTTCTATTATATTGTAATTTTATGTTATGAACCACCCTGAGATCTACAGGGCATTATACTTCTGTTACTGCTAATAATAATAATTTTATTTGTTGCAATTTCCTGCATTGCAGGGAGTTGGACTAGATGTCCCTTCCAGCTCTGCAGTTCTGTGATCCCCGGATGACACGGTGATGCACTCTAAGCCCCCAATAATAATCACATGGCACTTGATGTTGGGAGACTGGGTGTGGGGATAAATGAGAGCATAAGATCAACAAAGATCCATCTAGTCCAGTGGCCAACCAGCTGCCCAAGAAGCAGCACAATGAGGACAGAATATGATCATTGACAAGAGTGTCTATTTGGGCGGGGGAGTGTAGAAAAGTAGGGGGGAATGGAATGGAGTTACCCAGAAAAATGTAAGGCTGGGTAGGACGAAAGCACTCCACACTGCAGCACTGTGTTATGGCTACTGTTTGTAATGCTCATATAACATCTAAATGGCTTGCCCTTTTCTTTTCCGCAAGTATATAATCAACCTGTTAAATTCCCAGCTGGATTGCTTTGCGCAGCTAGGTTAATAATTCTTTGTCCTCATTTAGATTCACCTATAACACAATTAAGTCGCAAACTAACCAACGTATAGAAGGGGAAAACACAATATATGCATGGATTTAAAAAGAAAGGAAAATTCAACACCATTATTAGTGTCTTCAAAGTGTTTTAAGTTCCTGTTGCTATAGAGCCAGGTTTGTAAGGAGCACAGACAAACATAAACACACACACACACCTGTCTCTCTCAAAAGCTGTCCTTTAGGGAATGAGAAAGCGGGAACACCTTAAAATAGGTTAACCTGTTCTGTGCTCCATGAGCAGAGTGGAAAAGGAATTTAAAATGTAATAGGAACAAACAGATCACAACTGTCAGTGACAGGCAATAAGAAAAAAAAAATACAGTGGTACCTCGGGTTACATATGCTTCAGGTTACATACGCTTCAGGTTACAGACCCAGAAATAGTACCTTGGGCTAAGAACTTTGCTTCAGGATGAGAACAGAAATTGTGCTCCGGCGGTGCAGCAGCAGCAGGAGGCCCCATTAACTAAAGTGGTGCTTCAGGTTAAGAAAAGTTTCAGGTTAAGTACGGACCTCCAGAACGAACTAAGTACTTAACCTGAGGTACCACTGTATTGTGGGTGTTCCTAGCTTTGCAGATGCACCAAACACACTAATGAATTCTATTTCTCCAATCGTGCCTTTATAACCAACGAGGAAGACAACAAATTTCAATAAACAAGCAAGTCCAAACAAGATGGCTTAGGGAGAATTTCCTTTTTCTTGATTTGCCAACAACCCCCGGATACCAACAAATTTTGTTAAAAACACAGAAAGGCAAATAATAAAGAATAATAAAGAAGCAATGAGACACTTTGGGAGGAGTCAATGTTGATCCAAGTTCTTCTCTTTGCTGCAAATGTAGCCTGACGACTCTAATGCCGAAGCAGATCAGAAAACGGAAATGTGTGTCTCTTGCCAGAATGCGGAGTGATAAAATCAGAAAGCAAAAGCTTCAGGCAGGCAGCAGTCATTTCCAAAGCACTAACCACAAAGAATGTAAGTAACATGCAGCCTTCCTCCCCTAGGGCTTAAATCCCACAGGAGGAAGTAGGAGGTGAAATAGACAAGAACTAGACTCACCTCATCCAGTTTGACGTAGTCTCATCGGTCCCATCTATGGATTTGTAGCGGTTGTTCTTATCAACAATCTGGAAAGAGAGGAAAAGTGAGGGAGGAGGATACACAACCAGAAGAAAGATACGTAGCAATTTACTTTCAATTCTAAGCATCTCAATTCTAAGTTATCTCTTGGGCAGTATTACCATTTAGCTTGGGAGAGAACTGGGAGACAGTCTACAGAAGAACTGTTTGCTTCCAAGGGACTCATGCTTCAACAGTAAAAATCTTGCTTTAGACTTTTAGTACAGTCGTACCTTGGAAGTCAAATGGAATCTGTTCCGGAAGTCTGTTCCAACTTCCAAAACGTTCGAAAACCAAATCGCGGCTTCTGATTGTCTGCAGGAAGCTCCTGTAGCCAATCAGAAGCCCTGTTGGACATTCGGCTTCCAAAAATAGTTTGCAAACCAGAACAGTTACTTCTGGGTTTGCGACATTAGGGAACCAAAACATTCGAGAAGTACCGTATTTTTCGCTCCATAAGACAAACTTTTTCCCTCCTAAAAAGTAAGGGGAAATGTGTGTGTGTCTTATGGAGCGAATGCAGGGGAGAGGCAGGCAGGAAAAGCCCCCGCGGCTCTTGCGAGCTTTTCCCCAGGAGGGAGAAGGGACTGACGCGGACAGTCAGTCCCTTCTCCCTCCTCGTAGAAAAGCCCGCAGGAGCCGTGCGCTCCTTAAAGGGTGTGCAGCTCCTGTGGGCTTTTCTACGAGGTGGGGGAATTCCCCCACCTCGTAGAAAAGCCCGCAGGAGGAGCGCACCCTTTAAAGAGCGCTACACTCTTGGGGGCTTTTCCCCAAGGAGGGAGAAGGGACTGACTGGTCGCGACATTCGGGAACTACCGTATTTTTCGCTCCATAAGACGCACTTTTCCCCTCCTAAAATGTAAGGGTGAATGTGTGTGTGTCTTATGGAGCGAATGCAGGGGGGAGGCAGGCAGGAAAAGCCCCCACAGCTCTTGCCGGCTTTTCCCCAGGAGGGAGAAGGGACTGACGCCGCCAGTCAGTCCCTTCTCCCTCCTCGTAGAAAAGCCCGCAGGAGCCGCACGCTCCTTGAAGGGTTTTGTGGGAGGTGGGGGAATTCCGGGCTGCTCCCTGAGCTGGAGGGGGGAGTAATATTTTTTCCTTGATTTCCCCCTCTGAATACTAGGTGCGCCCTATGGTCAGGTGCACTTAATGGAGCGAAAAATATGGTAAGTTGTGAAAAGCAAAAGTAAGTTGTGAAAAGCTGTATTCCATTCTAGTCTGCACTTTAAACCTGGCTGCAAGCAGGAAGTGCTCCGTTTGTGACTGAGTCATGAGAACATATTTTCTTAGCTCAAGTTTTGAAGAACTGAACTCAATGGTTCCTCCACAGCCGCACCACTGAGATACTTACCAGCCAAGAGAAGAATCCTGCAGATTTGTCCTGACTGGAGAGCTTCCCTTCATATGGTCCAAAAATACGACCTTTTGGGATAACTTCGTTCACACAGCGCACATCCCGCTCTCCACTGGGCTCTTTCACCACTTCCATGCCAGGTGGAACAGTCATAGCAGCTCGGTCAGGGATGCCAATGGGGACTGGAGCATCCGAGACGAAGACGGGCGGGCCATGGTTTGGACATTCATCCACAAAATACTCCTGGCAGGACTCACAGACTGTAGGGCAAGAGGAGAGAAGATTTTACTCTGGACCGTGGGATACTGTCAAAGAGATGCAACTATTTTTTGTAGGTTCTGATGGTCACATCAAACTTGTTGGCAAGGTAGAACTTCTCATCAAAATTCTAAGCTTTGGGAAGTTTCGCAGACTGCTTTGTGAAAGCAGTTCCCAGCCTTGAAGAACCTATGCTGTTCAGAGACTTGGGAAGAGGCGAGTGTGCAGTCCCTGACTGTCCCTGTCCCTGAAGACAGCTGGCAAAGTAACTTTAGCTCAGCCTTGATGTTAACATAGAAAAGTACAGACATACTTTGGAAGCCAAACGCCTTGGCTCCCGAACAAATCGGCTCCTGAATGATCAAAACCCGGAAGTGAGTGATACAGTTTTCGAACGATTTTCAGAAGCCAAACATCCAGCACGGCTTCTGTGGCCAATCGGAAGCCGCGCTTTGGTTTTCAAACAGTTCCGGGAGTCGAATGGACTCCCGGAACACATTCTGTTCGAAAACCAAGGTACCACTATAAAGGTTTTCCTAGAAGGCATAATTCACAGAATCATACAGGGGAAAATAATATAGCATCTTCTAATCCACCCACTGTAGCAAAGCAGCATTTATAATTTTTGCCCACGAATTGGCCCCACTGTAATCCAGACCAAATTCATCTGCTTGGGCCTCCAGCTGTAGCCAACACCAGAGAGACACCGCTTTGAGGCTGAGCTACATCAGCTCCCCTTACCAAGAGTTGGGGCAGAGACAGGGGTGCACACCTTCATCTGTGGCTGCCTGCAAGGGCCCCTGGCACCAGAAGACTTTGTAAAACGTGGCACTTGCTGCTTGCTGGATGAGGTAATGCATTCCTCATAGCCTTTCCTTTCCAGGAGCAGATACACATAACCACTTCCTAGGTAACATTTCCTTTAAAACTTCCTGCATTGCAGTTTATCGTAGTGTAGAGGCCCACAACACAATCCTGCAACTGCTCAGAATTCCATGCCGGTGAGCAGGGGAGATGGCAGAGGGCATGGTAACCCTTGGCCCCAAGTCTCTGGCTTTCAGTACCATTAGAATTTCCCCGGGGGAAATTTTTTAATGGTTGCCACAATTAGAGAGACGGAATCTAGGGTGAAATGGACGTCTTCTGTTAAAGGGGGAATTTATTTCCCTTTGAGAGGATTCGTTATGCTTCTCCTCCCAGATGTAGGTGGGCAAAATATAGTCATTCAAACTGACCAGCAACCAAGCCAGTAGCACCTCACTTCTTCTAAGCATAAAAGTCAGAGTACAAATGATGAGCGGGGAGGGAGAGGTATAATTTCAGAGAAATGAGTTAAGTGAAGGGGATGGTGATTTCTTAATAGTAAGAGCAGTTTAACAATGGAACCAATTGCCTGGGAGAGGGGTGGGCTCTCCCTTGCTGCATTGGCAGCCATTTGCGCTGGATTTCCTGCGTCAAGCAGGGAGCTGGATCACAATATGATCCCCTCCAAATATATGAGTCTGTGAAATTCAGACTAGTAAATAATTCTCTGGCAGGGTGAATGTACCCTCTTGCTTTTCATTATTCAGCCAGTATGGACTACAGATTTCAGGCACTGGAAATGAACACATTTAAAGCAAAAGCAAAAATAACAAGTAACCAAAGTTTTGCAGCATCCCTGCCAAGGATCCACCATGACATCCCTTGAGAAACTGTGATGTTGGGATCAGGACCAAGAATAGAGCTCTTCTGCAAATTAAAATAAAAGCTAGCTACATTATTGAGTTATGTCCCTCCTGATAAAGTATATTTAGCTCCTTCACGGTTGGGCTCTGCTGTTCCCTAGAAAGATTAAGAGCATATTTCTATTCATGTCGGCTAGTGTTACATGTAGCAGAGGACAGGAGGCATTTCTCCGCTGTGTAACACAAATCTTCTATAAGAAACAAAACGGTATTGTTCTGCTATCCGGTTGTTTGCCATCCTATACCTCTTTGGGAGGAAAGGTGGGATAGAAATTTAATTTGAAATAAATAAATAAGATCTGAGGATTAAAGGGCAAATATGCCAGACAAACTAGGGCACAAAGAAGGCAGGATTCTTTTCTTTGGTATCTGAATCTATGCCGGTGTGTCTGCCTATCAATGGTTCTGCTCAATCTCCATTCTGGAACCTCTGACCGCTAGCCTTATTTACATGTCAGCTGATGCCAAGGACCAGTCTGAATCACGGCACATGCCTGCATATGCTTAAAACTGTCTCCAGTACACAAGGAGCACTGAAAAAGAAGGGCTCTCTTAGCTCTTCCGACTCAGCAGGTAGGGTTGCAACAGACAACTTTCTCCCCCTTCTGAAGGCTTAAGGGGGGAAATGATACAACAATTCATTTTGTTCACCAGTGAGATACTTACACCAGAAATCTACTTGCTGAAAACTCTTGGACATGATCAAATCTTGCTTTCCTTTCAGTTTTTTATGCTCTACGTTCATGGACTGGGAGTCAACCTTTCCAGAACTTGATGAGAAAGAAGAGAACAGAAGTGTGAGATACATTGTGGGAAGGGGTCGAGAAAAAATGTTTAGAGAGCAAGTATATTTCGTATCAACACCTAGACAAAAAATAAACGCCAGCTTTCGGACTCTCCATAATTAACGCCTCTCTACTGTTTTCTGTATTACTTTACTCAACAGGTGTAGTTCTTCTGAAATATACTGGCCTTCCTAGGCTTCTATTGAGCACACCACCAACTCATGTATTAGTAACAATCACTACAGCAAGCACTTTTTGGGGGGTGGGAGTAAACACAGTGAGTAAACACTGGCTTTTATGGCAAAGAAAAAACATTGAGGGCGATAAGCTACAAGCATTAAAACACTTTCATGATGATATTAAAAACAGAAGTTTCAATTTGTAAGCATGCGCTTATTGTGAATTACAGCACTACACCATGCTCCTACAGTCTTAAGCAGAGCGATAAGCATGTGACTCCTCAAATGGTGATCCAGAACGCTGTGTTGCCCTGGGATCCACTGGTTGCACAGTCCTAGATCATGGAAGCATAGAACTGTAGAGTTGGAAATGGACCACACGGGTCATCTAGTCCAACCCCCTGCAATGCAGGAATTTAGCTGTGCTGTCAGCTCTAATCACAATGCAAACATATTAAAACGCTCTTACTTAGAGGTGAAACATGAATCATGTAGGCGTAGTGTTTTTAAAACTGTGTTCCTAGGAAGCTTGACATTTCTCCTGGGGCAAAAACATGATGAACAGGTACAAGGGACTTTTGTGTTTTGGGGTGATGACCCATTTAATTATTTATTTTTCTATGCACCTCTTGATAGTAAAAAAACAACAACCCCAAACCACCTCAAAGCGGTCTGCATTTTTTATCAATAAAAAATAAATAAATAACAATTCAAAAAATGAAAAACAGATTAAAACATGCATCAACATTCTAAATATCTGGGTAGGCTTTGTCCAAACAAAAACGTTTTTAGCAGGCACACAGCCCATGGAAGATGCACAGGTGCTCCTTAGCAAGCATATTGATATGGAAAGGGGTTTCCACAGAGTTGGCTTGAAATCTCCTTACCAGAGTTGCCCATATTCGTCTTCCTGGCATGGAGAGCAGGGTTCCGTCTTGATAGTTACCATTTCCCCCAAACAATCGTTCAGTTTTTCACTCATGTTCTGTAAGAAATTCAAAGATGGACAGAAGGGTAAATAGTTCTGTTCACTTTCCAGATTTCTAGGTCCCCTATCAGGGCTGCCCTTCTCAAGGTGGCACTCGATATTTCAACCAAGTTCCCAAACAGTTTCCCAAGCACTCCTGTTCCATGACTTGAGGACAGTCAGCTCCCATATGAACCTTTGCTAAGATCTTCCTCTGAGGCTCTATTCCAGGTGTCATCAGCTTCAGAGGGGAGGCAGTGTTGACCAGAGATAGTGTGATATCCAATGTTAATCCTACCTGCAGCAGATTTCAATGGGTCTACTTCAAGTAGATTGATTGTCACCTGGGATTTGTCAGTGGCATCGCCCTGACAGTGAAATATTTCCCCCAACTCAACTTGCACCTAATCTCAGTTTTTAGCCACATGGCAAAGGCAGAAATGCCCTCCCATCGGATGTCAAGGAGATAAATAACTATACAACTTTTAGCCCTGTCTCTGGAGGTTTTTAATGTTTGATGTTTTATGGTGGTTGGGGCAATCCAGCCAGGTGGGCAGGGTATAAATAATATAACTATTATCATTATCATCATCATCATCTTTGCTCATAATGGGTGATTTGACCTCTGCCTTGGCTTTAATGGAAATTTTAATTCTGCTGTCATCTTGCGAGTTTCAATTGAGGTTTTTCAATTGTCATCTATTTTTAAATATTGCAGTTGCCTGCATAGCTTTATGCTGAGACAAGATAAAAATCCTTTGAAAACAGCAAATAAATGTATAAAAAAACCTGTCCCTCATGTGCTCTTATATATCAGCGACTTGGCAGGCAAGTACAAAGAAACACAACTTTAGGTAACTCACAATGTTTTATTTTGAAAATACAAGACATGCAAGCATCACTTGAAGAGTTGAACACATATGCTTGCTTCACTTCTGAACAGGCAACTTTGCAGAGAGACAGGAACTTACTACAATATGCATATTAAATATGTGATGCTGGAAACAGCTATGAACTCTGCCTTGTTGATCTGCCCTTAAAAGATATAAAATAACTGCCAATTCAGCTTGTTTTTCATATCATGCTACTTCCAATTTGAAGTTTTACCCTCAATACAATGACATCAGGATGGGAATGGAGTAAGCACAATGCAATAACACACTGGCATCAGTTTCATCTTTTGTTCAGGTACTTCTGAGATTACCTTGAGCAGCATGGGTGACACAGGAGTATGGCCCTTTCCCGTGCCGCTAAGTAACACTGGAAGGCCACAGTCATTGGAAGTTACGGTTGTAGCTCCATCCTGTTTCCATGAATGCAAACACCAGCATGAAATGGTGCAGCAATGTGGATTTGTCCCCTGCAACTGCAGCCTTCAGGTTCTAACACTACTGAGTTGCCTTCTCAAAGGAACCACAGTGCGGCGGCTCTTGCCTGCTAATGTCAAAAAAAGGGCCCCATGTGCTTAGTAATGCTGGATTTCTAACACCATTGCAGTTTAGAAACATCACTTATTTTAAAAATGAAGAAAGCCAAGAACTCTTTTCTATAAAACAGCAAAGGTAAAATATTTGCCTCCCTTCCCTCCATTGTGCTTTTTTGGCTAAGTCATTAGTAGATAAAGATCTCATAGTACAACTGATGTTTTTTAGAGCTGGTAAATCTACATGGTTGGAGCTTCTTTTGGACAGCTTGCACAGGGTCATTATGACCCACATTCCCCAGTCTAAATTCCTTCTAGCATCAAATTGGCCAAAAATAAAATTAAGTAAGTCAGATTCCCATGCTGAATTCTTGAGTGCTATTTTTCATCTTGCTTGTTCCTTTCCATACAGCAAGAATTTAACTGAAGTGCACACATATGAAGACAAAGCAGCTCTGAAAATTATACCTATCAGTCCTTTGTTTTCACAAAAAAGCAGAAAAAGGTACTGTTTAACAAAACTCTCAGCAACTCCTTCATGTCACAGGCACTTGGGAAACTCAGGTTCAAAACCCCACTAAGACATGTAGCTTACTGGGTGACCTTGAAGAAGGTCCACAGGTCAGTAGTTAGAACACAGTTTTGTGAGCAAAAGATGCAAGGTTCAAACTCTGCCATCTTACAGCATTCAGGAACACAAAGACCAAATTTGATTTTGAAATCACATGGTACATTCTTATTCAGTACACCAGAAAGGACAATTGCCACCAGCTACCCATGGCTCACTCTGGGACAACCTGTTAAGATGGAGAGTAGGAGACCTTCACTGCTATAAGCAACTCTAACCTGCTGGACAACCCTGCTTAATGTCTGGCTGTATCCTTTACTTTGTATATGCAATGGGTGTTTCTTGGGGGGTGGGGTTATATGCGGATTGTGTGCTATAAGTAGTTTTTGAAACTGAAAAAATAAAGAAACTAAAACAAACAAAGGGCAGATCCTGGGAAAGTCAGCCGTCTAGATCTACCTACCTACCTACCTACACACACACACACACACACACACACACACACACACACACCTCTTTTTGTAAAGCACCTGGGTCCCCCTCCTATGACACTCAGCAACTTGAATCAATCTTGGAATGATTTCCGGTAGCAGCCAGGAATACATCAATAGTTTGCAGAAACACATACTAGCCATGTCACCTTTCCAGTCCAGTAGAGGCCTTCTGGCCTCTAGGACTCTCACAAAGACTTAAAAGATGATAAATACTGCTCTGCAGGGAGGTCACAAGAGGCTTTTCTCTTTCCACCCTACCACCAAAAGCGCTTCTGTCTTCATGTTATGGTTAATTACTTCAGACAACAATCTTTGCCTGTCTGGAGTGTCCAGCACCCATTATTCACGGGGCTCGGGATTTGTTGCAGATGGGTATGACGTCCAACCCACAAGAACTACCCCTAAGCTCTGTGGACAGCAGTTTATTTGAATGCTCCAAGGCAACCCAATATCAAGACATGTAAATATGTATTCACTTGCCACCTGAAATAATAAAATTGACCATTGGCAGCTCGGTTGGTTAGAGTGTGGCACTGATAATGCCAAGGTTGAAGGTTTGATCCCTATATGGAATAGCAGCATATTCCTGCATTGCAGCGGGTTGGACTAGATGATCCTCAGGGTCCCTTCCAAATCCAGAATGCTATGATTCTATGAAACATTTTTAAAAAGAAAAATAACTAAGGAATTCATGCTAGATGCATGAAATGCAATGCGGCAGCAGTGGAAGGAAATAGCGTTATAAAGAAAAAGAAGCATTCCGTGCATGCAATAGCTTCTGGAGGGAGGGGTCTCCTCTGGCATCTTTGGCACAAACAATTCAAGGTAGAAAAAGCTCTTGAAACTCTTCCAAAGGACATTTCGAAACTAGTGAGAACACTGAATACAGCCACACACAAGGTTTCCATTTTAAAAAGCCAGGCCCTCTTCCTCCACCTTCCTCCCCAGTGCCTCCCCTGCCAATTCTGGTCTTATCAGAAAACCCTGAATCTGGTGCCAGATTTTAGAGGAGAGATTGCATGAAATATATTCAAAACAAACCTTCATTGAACTGAAGCAAAGGTAAACTATATTCCAAAAATAGCTATGCAGAGAAAAACCACCTTTTAAAAAGGTAAGCCATACATTTAGTTTACCGAGAACTTAACAGAATAGTTTATGTAACACTGAAGGTATGGTCTAATACAGGAACAAAGTCTTTCCAGTTCCAGTATCTATAAATGTATCTTTTCCCGAAAGGCCTGCCAAACAGTTATGTCCTCCTCTCTCAAGCTCATTTAAAACACTGATGTCTCCATTCCTGCAACTTGTCGAACTTTTGTTAATTATTCTTTTGGGTATCATATTCCTGCTTGGGCTGTCATAAATAAATTTATTACGAACAATACATACCTCAAGACCTAAATATTACTCAACAAAAAGGGGTAAATTGCTACTGGAACCTAAAGGGTGTTGAATCATTTTTGCTCACCACCTTCAAGGAGAAATTATTGCTAGGCCTTGGAGGTGTCAGAGAGAGGTAAACCAGGTGAGGTTAGCCGATGAGTCTCAAACCCTTAGTGTAGTTTTCAACCAGTGTGTCGTGGCACCCTGGCATGCCTTGAATGATGGTCAGGGGTGCCGTGGGCAACACTGGCCTCCATCCCTCTTTCCTTCCTCCCCTCCCTCCCTTCCTTCCTCTGATGCCCTCTCATGTCTCTGCCTCCCAAAGGCTTGCACAGCTGTTTGTTGCAGCAGCCCTGGCTACAAGCTCCCCGGGTGAATGGTGCCTCTGGGGCTGGCCAGGGCGTGCTGGTTGCCAGGAGCTAAGGCAGCCTCGGAGTAAGCAAGCAAGAGGGCAAACGAGCCCAGTCCCCCAGCCCTTGCTGTTGGGAATGGATGGGAAAACAGGAGGTTGGGCAGGCAGGCAGTACACTGGTCTTTCTTGTGCTTGCTGTGTGCTAGGCCTGCCTGGGAGCTGAGTGCCCAGTGCCAAAGGGGAGCCTTTCAGTCATGCAGGCCCGGCGGCACCCGCTGCTGCCAATGCTGCCTCCTAAGGTGAGTAAGGTGCTGGCCTCACATTCATCACTAAGGATGGGGGCATCCTCTTCCCAGGCCCCTGTGGGGGGAGGTGTGAGGAGGCACCTCTCTTTGGGGAGTGTGGTGCTCCCCAGCATAAGAACTCCCAATTTCATCAACTCTTCCAGCTACTATAAAAAAGGCTTAAAGGTCAGTCAGTCTCCAATGAGGAACCAACCAGCAATGACGGTGGGGGAGCCTGATGGAAATAGATAGCTTGATGCCCAACACATTTCTGTTCTAGATTCCCATGTGCAGCTCTATATGACACTTAAAGTGAGTGAACAAATGTTGTTTTCTTTTCTGCTTTTCTCTTAAGCCTTTGCCAGTGCCAAGAACATGAGAGTGATGTGCACCAAACCCAAACGTATTTATACCAGGCTTGTAAAAATAACATTGGTCGACATGAGCAAGTGCGTCAATAAAAAGGTGGGGTAACTTTGCAGACTAAGTTATGCAAGTTTATTAATTCCAG